CTGTGCCGTCAGAAAAAATTCCACTTAACTTGTTTTTGCTCCCGTTTGAATTAGGCTAGAGACAGTAAGTGAAATGTGCTGCTGTTCTCCTGTTTTTTATCTGTTAGTAACTTTATATATGCTGGATGGCTTTATGAAGAATAAGCGATCACTAAACCCTGAACTCATTAGCTCATTGATCCAAAAAGTGAGAACTGATTTTCCCTATAGCCAGAACATTGTGGTGAGATTCACAGAGGGTGCCCTGAGAATGCCAGGGGAACCCACATTCAGTTCCAGCTCTGCTTCCCATGTGCTTTTTTGAGGGTGAAATTCCCCACTGGAATGACCTCCCGATATCCTGTTATCCTAAGAAATATCAAGATTACTTTAAGAAATCTTCATCAACTGCCAACTCGTGTAACTGAGCAATTTCAAGAAGTTTTACATCTACCTATGTACCACCTCCCCACTTATAGTCTCATAATTACCAATTTTGTTTTTACTGCTCCCAGAATAGATCTTGCCACTACTTGGAGAACAGTAAAAGCCTAAAATAACCTTATAAACGAGCCATTAGTATGTAAATCAAACCTGTAACCGGTCTATATGAAGTTAGTATAGGGGGTAGATTTTCCAGGCTGTGCAGCATTCCAAAACTGACCTAGAAGATGGTGGGACTTGATTGGTGAAAAATACCGTAGAAGTCCTAGCCATCTCACTGAGCTCTTTGGCCTAAAGGGCGTTCTGTAAATAGTTGATTTTTCCACTAATTAAAAAAGAGAATATTTTTGCTGACATGAGTCCATTGCTGACCTTCTAAGACAGTGAAGTATTTTTTTGTGTTCATCTTAAATATGACTGATTCATGAAACGTTTTTTTTTTTTTTCCTTGTGACTTCTCAGATGTTTTAAAATTCACTTATTTCAGTACATATCTAAGAGAAATATGTACAAAAAATTGTGGTCGCTTTAAAAAGAAACAATTCAAAATTTGTTTTGCCAAAAAGATAAGAAGTTGGTACATGTTTGTTAAATAATTTTCTGTAAGTGGAATCTGTGTGTTGATGAAAAATTTAAATATTTGATTGAAAAAGACCGCATGAATTTCAGATACATCTTTTTCCACCTAGAATTTGAAACCTTATTCTGCAGGTTCTGGATAGTTTGGCATTCACCAGTTTTACTGTAAGGGAAATGATCAATGAAAATTATTACTTTTAACAGATAGTTTCTAGAGGAAAGAAGGGAAGGAAATATCCTGGTCATGCAGAAATTGTTTTACTTCAGTACCGGAATGTCACAATTAGAAATGAATATGCACGATACAAACATGGAGAAATTAGATGTTTCCTGCTATAAAAAATTTCCTGTCTACTGTGAGCTACAGTAGGGAATTTTGATGTATCACGTTTGCACCCATGCTTTTATTTTTCACTTTCATTCTTCACAATCTTCACAATCGGCCCTTCCCAAACATTTTGTAAGATAGCTGCAATATGCAGAACAGTCCTTGATAATCCCCAGTTTTTCCTGACTAAGCAGGCATCTAAAACCAGAGAGGGACTGGGGTGAATTTGTTTAGAATGTACTTTTCATATGCCTATATAAACATATGCATAAACATGATACCCTCCACTTGGAGAATGTGTGAAAGGTGGGACATGATACTTGTGAGAGGTACCGAGTTCTGCAAATGAAGGCAGTGAGGAGGGAAACAAACTGCCTGTTAAATACGGAAAATGGAGTCTGCTTTTTGTTCTGGGCCTTTGGAATCCGTGGGTGGATTGGAACTGGCAGGCAGGGAGCAAACACCCACCCACCATAGGGCTGTGTGGTTCAGAAGTTTACAAGAGTGTTTGTGTTCCAGGAGCTGTTGGCCTTGAAGCCAATGGAGAGGGGGAGGAGAAGAGGGAGAGAGTGAGAAAAACACTGTGGTGTTAGGGCCCTTCCTCCGAGATATTTTTCCCCTCTCTCTTCTCCAGCTAGAGGGCTTTGGATCTGGAGCAAGACAAACAGTTACTGGGGGAAAGATTAATCTGATTCTAAGATGCGCACTGCTCACAGTCCGTCCAGGGGTGGCAGAGACTTCAGAAGCCACTGCCACCTTAGTCCCAAATGACAGCTCTCATCTCTTCCCCTTCTCCTGCCCCGCTGCTGTCTAATTCTGCAGAGTCTGTGGGATATAAAGAAATTTAAGTTTACTGTATTGTTACTGCATGAGCTGAAAATTGGTTTCTGTCCCATCATGACTTGAGGTTCAGAAGCTGCCACTCTAATCGGTCACCATCTGGCTATTGCAGATACAGAAACTGAGGCACAGGGAGACTAAACAACTTGCCCAAGGGAACAGGAAGTTTGTGGGAGATCTGGGAATAGACCCCAGATGTCCTGAGTTTTCTGTCTTAACCACAAGACCATCCTTCCTGCCTTTTTGGTAGTCCCCTCTGCTTCAGGAATTCCGTTTATGGATTCTACCCATAAACAATCTGTTGCACGATCCAGTGATTTACTTGCATAAAAGAATCATTTGGAAGGGAAAATGGCATCTCTCTTAAAATGAACTGCAGTTACTACTGTCCTTTCTTTCTAAGGGGTAAAGGAGTGCAAAAAACCCATCAGCTTACAGAGCTAAGAAGCTTCTCCATTGCCATCCAGACTTCCTGCAAGCATTAGTTGTGTTCTTTAAAAGAATCAGGAACTCCATATGTGATGTTTGAGTATATCTAGCCATTTCTATTTTAGTGAGTTCAAAAAATAATGACTGAAACTGGACTAAATACATCTAGGGAATTATTCTGTTGCTGTTCACCATCGTGTCTGAGTACCTTTGGTGACAGTCAGTTCGACTGCCGTATCACTAATGGACTTCACTGGGCAGCTGGTACTTCTCCCTTGTCATAGTCAGAACTTTTCTAAGATGAGGCTGAATGGTGGGAAGGGTTTTCATTCTAATAAAGCATACCCTTTGGTTTGGAAATGATGGAATGCATGGAACATCATAGATGGCCTTCCTATTATCAAAAGGTGCCATACATAGTTTCCAAAGAATATTCTTGGAAATTATTCTTAACTAAAACCTTTTAGATATCCCTGTTACTCAGTGAAGAATTTTCCTAGCCTGGCTTTCTCTTAATGTGGTAACCTCTTTAGCATCAGGAATCAACAAGGACTGTATGGCCTGGATTGTTCGGTCACGTCTTTAAACCTTGGTATTGGGGTAATATCTAAAAATTCCACTTGTGGATCCGTAAATCCATGTGCAATGCATTGTATAAACAGAAACTCAGAGGGTACTCCTTGCCACCAATGGCTTTCTATAATAAAGCAATTTGGTAAATATTCTCCAAATGTCTTCTCTCAGGATGTGAAGATTCAACTGATGACTGGGACCGGTGTATTTGGTTCTTGCCTTCTCTGGCCTACCCTGTAATACTTTGTCAAAATTGGCTATGTGAGAGTGGGTTCCTCTCTGGGGAAATGATGATTTAAATGCAAGATCAAAGCTCTTTTGCAACTCTGTGACACGTCTTTGCTTGGAATGAGATTTCAGAATATAAAAATACACATAAAATATGAGAGCTTGGTGTGTTCCCTGCCCCATTACACTTATTCTGAGTAAATTGCAACCTTTTTGTTTTCTGCTTGCTTTTTTAAACAGTGTTTGGATATTTGTCTATTTGTTCATTCTCTTTTGTCCTGATCTGCTTTTTCTGATTTTATACTGTAATGGTAAACTCTTTCAGAGGAGACTGCACCACTCAGTGTAGCCACATTCTGTGCTATGAATAGCGCTTAAAGTCACTGTTGCATTACAAACAATATTTTATCAATTGTGTCGGTGTGAAACTGCTCTCCAGCCTTTTTTTGGCACAGACAACTGGCAGAGCTCGGAGGTAACGGGTGTTATACATTTTCAGTTTGGTTCCTATGTTGGTACTTCGCCCTGGTTGCAGTGTTTTTTGCAATTCTAGTTACGCAGCCCGTGGGAAAAAAGGGAGAAGCCGAATTTTTAATTTTTAAATTTATTTTTGCATTGGAATTTGGTGTTAAATGAGACTAGTCCTGATCGGAAGAAAATCCCCTCAGGCCGGCGGGCGCCGCGCGCGCGGCTCTTCCCGCCGCTGGGGCGTGCATGAGGCCCGGCTCGCAGCCGCCGGCGCGCAGCGCTCGGTAGAGGGCGCTCGCCTCTGGGGCTGCGATGGCGCGCGGCGCGTGTGCCCGCCCGCCTCGGCCGCCCCCGGAGCTGAGGGAGCCGCGTCCCCGCGCCCGCCCGGGCGGTCAGCGCGGGTTTTCTCGCCTCGGCTCCGCGTCGTTATTTCAGCGAGGGCGTAGGCAGCACGCCTCCCTCCTGCACACCTGTGCCGCGGTTGTGCCCTCACGCTCCTTCCACGCGTTAAGCGTCGCCCGTGAGCCGGGCGTGTCGAGAGCAGGGTACGCGTGTGCGCCCGGCGAAGTCGGTGCGCGGCTCGCCGCGCCCGCGCATCCCGGGGTGTGCGACTAGGGCGTGCTGTTTTCGGCCAGCAACTGCGTTCGTACGCGTGCGATTTCTGCTCGGAGAGAGGGGCGTGTGCTCAAAGTTGAAGTTAGGCGTTGCAAGCAGGTTTTGCGACGGACAGGTTGGGTTGTTTTGTTTTTTGTGTGTGTGTGTGTGTGCGCGCGGCGTGCTGGAACTTTGTTTTTCCTCGTCCCCTTTTTACCGCTGCCCGGAAAACAAGCGGCCAAGAGGATAAAGCTGTCGCCCTACCGCCCCTCCTCGGCGGCGCAGCGGTCTGTGAACCCAGCAGTTTATCCTCCCTCCCTCCCCGGCGCTGCCGCCCGGGGCCGCGCCGCGCGCCCGCCTGTGCAGGGGCTCGGCGCAGAACGGAGGGGGGAGGCGGGCGCTGTTCCTGGAAGAGCCCGGCCTGGGGAGTTGGTCACATTCTTGGCTGGGATTCAATGACTGAGGCAGACACCAACAAACAGAGGGGGGGAGGAGGAGGAGGAGGAGGAGGAGGAGGAGGAGTGAGGAGTGAGGGAGGCTGAGCCAGCCTGCATTAGCTCAGCTCTCAGGCACTCTCAGTCTCTGCTGGAAAGAGGACCTGGGAGGATGTGCGCTCTCTTACCGCGGCTCCCCACGGCACGCCGAGAAGACCGACAGAAATAAGGGAAGAAAGGCGAACTGAGAGACGAGGAGTCCTCCCAGATCAAGCTGAGGGACCACGAGGGGGAAGGGAGCCTGCCTATTGCCCGTCTGAAGCCCCCGCGCCGTTTTGGAAGTGCCAGAGATTTGGGCCTTTTCCTTTTCTTCTGCGTTGTTCCCTTCCACAGACCAAGCTTTCTTCCTCCTCCTGCTTTTTACTTTCCTCCCCCGCGCCTTCCTTTCGGTGGATATGGACAGAAGGGTGATTACTGCAGAGAAGCAGCAGCCGCCAGAACATATTTGAGCCCGTGGTGCTCGGAGCGTGGCACAGACTTTTTGTATTTCTGTGGGTGGCGTGTGCGTGTGTGTGAGTGAGTGTGTGTGGTGGAGGTGTGGGAGGCGGGATTGGTTTGCCTGGGGGGTTGGCTGAGGGGGTGAGTGCTCGGATGAAGACCTCTTTTTGCTGTGACTCTCTGCTCCATCGGGGCATCTTGGAGACTTGGAGGTTTTGAAATTGTAACGAACCAAGAGAAAAGAAAGAAGAGAGAGACACGCATACAAAAGGATTTATTTCCTATTCGTTAGTGGATTGTTAAACCTGAGTGGGAAGGAGAAAAAAAACAAGGGTGGGTTGTTTTATTGTGGTCATAATTTTTTTCCTAAAAAAAAATCCCTTAAGTGGATTTATACCAGGGTGGAAGATAACTGGGGATTTTTGTTGTTTGTTTTTGGGAATAGAAACTAAAAAATGGAGACTGTAAGTAGAAGCAGCTTCCAGCCTCATCCAGGACTGCAGAAGACCTTGGAACAGTTTCATCTGAGCTCTATGAGCTCCCTGGGTGGCCCTGCTGCTTTCTCAGCACGATGGGCACAGGAGATGTATAAGAAAGACAATGGCAAAGACCCAGCAGAACCTGTACTGCATCTGCCCCCTATCCAGCCTCCTCCGGTAATGCCTGGTCCCTTCTTCATGCCCTCGGACAGATCCACCGAGAGGTGCGAGACCATCCTGGAAGGGGAAACCATCTCCTGCTTCGTGGTGGGTGGAGAGAAGCGGCTTTGCTTGCCCCAGATCCTGAACTCGGTGCTCAGGGACTTCTCCCTGCAGCAGATTAATTCGGTGTGTGATGAGCTACATATTTACTGCTCCAGATGCACTGCTGACCAGCTGGAAATCCTCAAAGTCATGGGCATCCTGCCCTTCTCTGCTCCTTCCTGCGGGCTCATCACTAAAACTGATGCGGAGAGGCTTTGTAATGCCTTGCTTTATGGTGGCACCTATCCTCCCCACTGCAAGAAGGAATTCTCTAGCACAATTGAGCTGGAGCTTACAGAGAAGAGCTTCAAGGTGTATCATGAGTGCTTTGGGAAGTGTAAGGGACTCTTGGTGCCAGAGCTTTACAGTAACCCCAGCGCAGCCTGCATCCAGTGCTTGGACTGCAGGCTTATGTACCCACCTCACAAATTTGTGGTCCACTCTCACAAATCGCTGGAAAACAGGACTTGCCATTGGGGCTTTGACTCTGCAAACTGGAGATCCTATATCCTCCTCAGCCAGGATTACACTGGGAAAGAGGAGAAAGCTAGACTGGGCCAGCTCTTAGATGAAATGAAAGAAAAATTTGACTATAACAACAAATACAAGAGGAAAGCCCCCAGGGTAAGTGATGCCTTTAATTTTAAGGGGGGTGGGGGAAGAAAGAAAAGGAATTATCGGTTATTTCGGTAACATCCATTGATATACCCAATTTGTTACCAGCTGCTTTTCCTTTGAGTCATTTAGCAATCTAATCGTGTTCTTAATTCTTACCACGTGTGTGTTAATGTAGACGAGCAGTGTTTGAGATGGCACCTATTTTCTCTGGTTGTGTTCTGAACATGGTAGTCGGGAGTTTGTTTAAACTATATACGTGTGTTTGCATATCTTACTATACATGGAACCTGATCTTTGCAAGCCATCACACTACCCCAGACTTTAGCAGGAAGTATGTGATTTCGGGTCTTGTAGAGCTTCAGTTAGGCGTCAAGACAAGGAAGAAGCCAGAAAAAAATAAGTTACTGATCACTCTAGACTAAAATATATACGATTTTCTGATCAACTGAACGCTGCCAAGGATGGAGGCGTGGGCTAAATTGTCTAAATGCTTGTATTGAAATAAAATGTGACTGCTGAGAAAGAATCCTGACAGTAATGCAGGTTACTGGTGTTCAGATTGTGTGGAACGTGAATGGAGAAGTCCCTGCTTTTAGAGTATCCCTGTGGAGTCAGAATCTCCCCACCAGACAGGCTTTTGTATACTGGATTATGTAGACATTCAGTAAACGAATCTGTCTAGGGCCAGCTGCAGCAGCTTCTTAAGGTATGCCATGCCGTGCTGAGCCAGACAGCTAAAGCACTTTTTTTTTTTTTTTTTTTTTTTAGGTGTCTTTTGTTTTTCTTTCAGTCTGAGCTGCCTTTAGATCCCAGAATCCCTGGTGTGTGCGTGGGAGGCTGCCTTGGCATCTCGCACCAGCCCTGATCAATGGGCAGCAGTGCCACAAGGCCTTGCTTGCAGACACGGGGCTGGCTGGCAGTGGGGCAGCTGGCTGTGGGATGAGCAGTTCGCTCCCTGCTCCTTCCCCCCAGCCCAGTTTAAGGTTAAAGCAAACTCTTGCCTGCAGAGTTTTACACGGCAGGTTTCTTGGTTGCGTTCTGCTTCATCTGGCCGAGATTTTAGAACTTTTCTTTGGTTTTATGGGTCTGGAGTGGAAGGGCAATAACACAAGCCTTAAAAAGAGAAGCAATGTTTAAAGCCCACTGAGAATTTTCAGTAAAATTCTTCATTAACTTACCAAACACCTGTTTAAAGGGGCAGACACACACTCAGACTTAAATAGAGCTTTTATTTATAAAAAAAAACGCAACAAAAATACCCAAAGAAAACCCAGGATTTTTAAAATAGCCTGCTCAAACAATGCAGTAATTCCTACAGCTAGCCTACGAGGCCTAGTTAACCCATTTGATTGGCCTCTGCGTTTTTTTGATTAAGGAGTCTCGCTCGTTGAAGTTACAGTCTCTACTGGTTTTGCGCTTAGCCCCCATTTCAATCCTTGTCCTCGCCCCTCCTTTTCCTCCCACTTGAGTGTCAGCACCGCTGTGACAAAGCTAGGCTGTAATGAGGCACATTATCTCCGTGGTTGGAGGTGGATGTGTTTTTAATGGCTTGTCTATTCTCCGTCAGTCATGTGCTAAGATAGAATGGTGGGATAGATGTATATGAATGTCTGTGAGGAGAATACGGCTCTGAAAGTCGAGACATTTTTCAGGTTGGGAAATGAATTTTCTAGGGCGCTTCGTTTGGGAAGCAAATCAAGAAATCTCCACATGCTTGCCCCTGAAAGGTACTGTGTCCCTAGTTTGGTCATTTCCAGAGTTTAATTAAAATGAATGTTAGTAGAGGCGTGCTTTCCCTTCCTTACAAGGCTATTACAGCATTTTATTAAGTTGTACGATTTATCCAACACCCTGGGTGAGGTTGCAGGTGGAGAACAAAAAAAGATTACTAAATCTTGGCTTTGTGTGACTTTTTTGGTAACCCTTTAATAGGTCCTAGTTTGGAACATGGCAGGCACTCTTCCCCCACCCTCCAAAATCTGCATGCAGCACAGCACTTCTTGCAGAGTGAATTCATGGTACCTAATCGTGGACACCAAAAATAATGTAAGGAAATTGTGGCCATCTATTTCATAGAAAATTTTGCCAAAAATCTATCACCATAAAATGTTATGTCTCCTGCATAGGTTCATTTGGGAGGTGGCAAGGGGTTTGATGGGGAAGAACAGAGTGGTGTGTGCTTAGATGATAGGGTAGAGGAAAAAAGAACGCTTTATCATACATCCTATGCAGAACTGGTCTTAAGTTTCAAGGCTTTTGAGCTGTCTTCGGGGCTCTCCAACTAATGTGGTGCAGTCTGGAGGAGACCCTGACGGTGCTGGCGGAGTTTTGTATGCTTATCCTTCCTTTTTCTGAAGTCTTTTTCCATTTGGCTTAGCCAACGGATATCATGTGCTAAGGTCATTTGTGTTGTAGCAGTGTGTGCAGATAATTACGGAGAGATTTAATCAGGCTCTAAGATTGGTAGGTTGTGGCCAGGGGCAAGTAACATTGGAGTAAAGTTTAGATGCCTAGTAAGGAAATGAAAGGATGGTCCCATGTCTGCTCCTGTGTGTTTGTGTTAATTACTGTCAGTCTCTGTGGGTTTTGTGTGTCTGTTTGGCTCTGGGTCTGTCTGTCTCTGGATGAAAGGGTGAAGCATGTGTGTCTTTCTGGTGGTCTTCCTTTTTGATGTAGATCTCTGCATTGCTTTGTTCTATTTTATATAGAGGTATTTGCGTGTGCTGTGTGCCATAATCTGCTGTGTCAGACATTGGGTCTTTTACTTTCAAGAGTGGACTTTTTATCAATTTCTCTATTTATGTATGTATGTGTGTATACACATTGCTTTGTATGTTGTGTTTTTCCCTGGGACTCTGTTAGTATGTTGGTAGCACGGGATGCATGTGACCATTTTTATGGCTGTTTAAGAAGCAGTGAGTTTTTTGACCTTTTTGTGTGTCTTCATGAGGTTTATGTGATGAGGTATGTAGATTTGTTCCAGCACAACTCTGCCTTTTAAGGGTCTGACTTAAATGGAGGAGCTGGGTTGGCACAAGCCCCCAGTTGCAAATTCAACCTACTGGCAAAACTGTCTTTTTTCCTGCCTTTTTTTTTTTTTTTTTTTTTTTTTGTCTCTTGGTGTGGTTTTAAAGCATTGCTAGAAGGCATAGCTTTACCTAGATATGTTATTCCCAACATGTATTTCTATATGCCTCCAGTATCTATTGTGCATGATCATTCCGTCTATGTTGAGAGATGGATACATAGATGCAGATATATTGTCTCAGTCAGCCTGGCTGGTTGAACAAGATGCATGTTGCCTGGCTTGCCACTCTCAGAAGGAGCTTTCTTCTAGACCAGTATGAAGTCAGCAAAGGGCCTTAACGGAAAACTGGAGGGAGTTGTGACAGCCGGAACCCACACTAGAGCAGGAACCGTAGAGGCCTCGGCCGCTTTCCTTACCCTCTTCTAAATTTTTGATTTTTGTATCCTTTCCATTCATCCTTGGATGAGTGATTGACTTCCCACAATCACCTTCCTGCCACTTCCCAAAGCTCTTTCTTTTCTTGAGCCATATGATAATTTCTCCAGGACACTTTGTATCCTTCACTGGGTTTTCGACCTTCTTGCATGCTCAGGCAGGGATTTTTTTCTGCTTTGTTTTCTCTCTGGTCTTTCAGAGTCTTCATGAACCAACATGGCTTTTACTTGAGTATGTGTCCTGTTTCCCTACCTGTCTCTCATTGCATCCACCATTACCGGCATGGAGCACAACCATTACATTCTGAGGTATTTCTAGAAATTTAAAATGCGAATAACCTGACAGGGTTGCAAAACAGGGTCCTAGAAATCCATCATCAGTGCCAAAGCCTTTTTCTTGAGCTCAGCAGCTGGTGCGTATTCATAGATATGGCCTTGGTGTGTCTCTCACGTTCTCTTTCCTCTTCTGTGTGACAGACAGCTCTCTGCTTTCTTAACATCAGTATGCCTCTGCTGTGATTGAATTAGTTCACAAAGCAGGCCTGAAGGCTTTGTTGGTTGCTATTTCTAGTAAAGGAGTGTGGGTTCAACTCTGTCCCTTTTGAACCTTTTTTTTCTTTGTAAAATATTGAACTGAGCAACATGAGTCAGTGCTTTTATATTTCCTACCTGTGTGCCAGACATCTGTACTTTTAGCAAAACTGTAGGTGATCAGACACTAACAGAATAAGAGCTCTCCTTGCACACGTGTGAACACACCCACACACACCAGCACTGCAGTGTTCCCACGGTTCAAGTCTCAGCAGCACTTCTATGAAGCAGCTGGAAGCTAGAAGCAGCATTCTGGGTACTGACACACAAATGAGCACATAAGGCCTCCCACTTTATTTCACAATGCCTACCAACCCAGTGCTGCCACAACATGCAGCTTTCTCAGCTGGAGTAAGGTTTAGCCAGGTCAAGTGTGCGGCCAAATCAAAGCATAAAAATTGCTGGAAGTGAAATAGTGGAGTACGGACTGAGCTGTAGGGTAGCTATGGACTTCTGGGTGCTGCACAGTGCTTGCTGGGGATACACCTGAGATGCTGCAGTAGTAGAGCTAGAATGCATCTTTCTGTATCCTAGTGTCCTGCCTCATGGCAGTAACATTTTTTATTTGTTAATTGTATATATCCTATGGAAGATATAGCAGAGAGAGATTCTGATTTTATTCACAGGCAGTGGTGTTCAGACTATTGGATGGATTTATTCTGTTTGGTACAAACTGACTTGATAAATATACTTGGAAAATTTTGCCTGTGAACTGAGGGTTCAATTGTTTTTCCATGGAACAATGAAGGAATTTGTTCTCTTACCTGATGTTCAAGAATTGTACTAGAGATTCTCCAGTAAAAATTTTGAAGTCCCTAAAACAAAAATGTTGAAGTTTTGAGGCAGTAGTTTAGTGCAGAATCCTTTTACAGCTTAAAAGTTGAACTTCAAAAGTGGTATGACGCTTAGACAAAATCCCGTGTACCTGAGGAGATGTCAGTGTTTAAGCAGAC